CAGAAATTGATGCTTAAAGTTCCCCAAATCAAGACAACTGTCTCCTCAGGGAACTAAAATGTTTCCAGGATCTATGTCCTAAGGAATTCTGTGGCTAGCATACTTCTTACAGGACCCTGAGAGAAAATCTGTGTTCCTGAGATGGAAGAATTTCAATATCAACTAAAATATTTGAAATTTAGTTTTTAAATGATGACTCATACTTAACATATTGTCAATAAAGTCGACTTTATGTATGTGGCTCAGAGAAGAAATTATAAATGAACACACGTAGTAACAGCCAATTTATAGAATATTCCAAAAGGTTAAAGGGGGTTCTAACCAATTATAAATAAATGATCTATTAAAATAGTTTTAAATTGTGAATTTCTTCATCCCCTCTAGAGAACTCTTGCCCCTTTAAAAGCATAGTGAGGTATAACCAATACATTTTTATATGCACAATGCTGATGCTAATAGATGAGCAGAAGCACCTCATCTCTTAGTATTATTGGCAGGTTTGTGCCAAATCAAACTGATTCTCCTTTGTTATCTCTTTTCTCCTTCTGGATTTCCATAATCAGGAGAATGCAACCTCCAGCTAATGGGTAAAATCTGTTCTGTGACTGAGAAATAGCTTTTCTCTGCATAGCTGGCTAGCTCCTAAAATAGCAACAGAACATGACCTCTTTAACACAATGCTTTAGCAGCCTGACTAGCCAGATCCTATGCTCAGGGCTGTGTTAGATATCTTTAGCATCTTTTATGATAATATATACCCAGGAATAGAATAGATAAACCCATGGTAAAGATGCTCTAACGGTTTGTTCCTAATTGAAGCTATTCTCATTCTAGAACTGGGCTCTACTCTCTCACAGTCTAGTTGTTTGACATTTACTTACAAGCATTCAGCTGTCAATTCTCAGGGGCTGAGGGAGGTTCTGGCCTTAGTAGTTTGACACATACTAATCAAATAAGTGAAAGGTTTGATTATCCATCAGAATGTCAGTGTCTCAGAGGGAGAAGGGACACTTGCTAAAATACTACCTTTCTTGTTAATCCGACTACTCTACTCTGAAAAGGAAGCCTGTGAGCAAAACTGGAGCTTCCAGAATCTCTGTATTTGAGTTGGAGTCAGCAGAGAAATGCACCAGAGATTTCAGTGCTTTTGCAGGGGAGAGCTAGTGACTACAAACGGAAAAGAGCTTTATCTGATGAAAGTAACTGGATGCTAAAGGAAAGACATCAGGAACTCTCAGAATTGACTAGAGCCTGGAGAGGAGAGGGGTGGCTGATATGGGAGCAGCAGCCAGAACTACAGTAGGTCTAGGTTCATTTAAAATTGTCACTTAAAAAAAAATCTCAACAGGTTTTTAAAATTCAAGTAGGCTACAACTAGTAGGTGTTCATGTTGTCTGCTAAGTGATATACAAGTAAATCTAAGTTTAAACCCAATATGAATGTACACAAATACACATTAGACCAAGTTCAGAGCAGAGCTGCACAGGCTCAAAAAGTGAGGAAAGGACAAGAAAGGTAGAAGATGGGGAAATGCTTCAAAGACAAGGGCAGTCTGCCAGGAGTGCTGGGGGCATTCCAAACTGACACACATGCAGATGACCAATGCAAGCTGCTCACTTGGCTCTTCTTCCTTCAGTGATTAGGTTAATATGACTTAGGATGGCGAAGATGAAGCTTTTGTAAGGAGACACCCACTGTGCCTTGGAGGGAGGAGAGTTGTGTTACAGGAATAAGACTTCCATGTTCTACCTCAAAGACACCTCTCGTATGTATCTCCCTGTGTAGCTATTGGGGGAAAAAACCTGGAGGCAGAGATACCGAAGGTGGCCTTCCCTTTGATTTCTCATTTCGAAAAAGGTGTTGCTAGGCCTGCCGACTCTGGTCAAGTGCCAGTGCTCTTGGGTAGCTCCCACAGGCACAAAATGTTTCATGCCACTCACCAAGGACAGCTTTAATACAGGGCTACGTGGCGAAGGCTGTTGAATGTGTGATGTAATGGGGTAAGATTGCGGTGTCAGTGACACTGTGGTACATTCACTTAGTCATTCTCATCTACGCCTAACATTGATGCAACTGTCCATAGTTTGCAGCTAGCAACTGAAGTTTAAAAAAAAAAATGAGTGAGTCACTGCCTTGGGTCACCTCTGACTTCTCGCCTTTAAACTCTAAAGCTAGGACTGAATGTCTTTGCCCTGTTGTAATTCACGTGCTCACTGAGCAGCACATGAATTCTGGAGCAGTTTACCCTTGTGCTGGCCAGAGGCCGACAACAGGGTCAATGGGGAGAAAGATGGAAGGGGCTACTTTCCATCTGCCTCCTGGGATCTACAGCCCCATGAAAAGTACTATGAATGGATCAGTTCTGTTCAATCCAGCAGCCTGGTATTTTCTGGAAGCTTTGCCACAGTGTAAAGAGAAGTAGTGCATAAATGATGTGATGGAATTATTGCTGAGCATGAATTTACTGCTCAGTTAGTGAAGTGGTGGAGCCATTTAATTGGGACTTTCTTGAGCTTGGGTTTATTTGCCATCTTATAGCAATTTTATCCCAGGAGGCCAGAGGCTAAAATGTTGAGTTCATCAAAGTTCTTCCTCACTGACCTTTGATTTAACACGCTCTGTGCTTTGAGCCTTTGTTACAGCTCCTTTGTCAGGGAAAACAACAACAAAACAAACAAAATACCTCTTATATTCGGGACTTTTAGCACCAAGTACATTTTTCCTCTGCATTCAAGTCAGAATAAATGCCCATAAAAAGATGGTTTTGAACCATTGGCCTAGAAACACCTTGGGCAGGGGCTCTCAACCTATAGATCATGGCCCCTTTGGGAATCAAATGGTCCTTTCATCAGACAACAGAGATATTTACATTACAATTCATAACAGAGCAAAATTACAGTCATGAGGTAGCAATGAAAATAATTTTATGGTTGGAGCTCATCATAACAGGGTTGCAGCATTAGGAAGATTGAGGTCTGTGGTCCAGTTTGTGTTTCTTGGCATCTCCTGGACCATCTCCTAACACCTCTCTCTAAGATTCCTTCCAAAAGGAGGGGCTCAACACCTCTCTTCCAGTTTTTCATAAGCACCAATTGAGACTTACATAGATTTTGATGGGATTTGAGTGATACCAGTAGATTCAGAGCTTTGGTATTCCTAAGCAGAACCCACAGTAGTTCCTCTGATGTTTAGCAGCATAAGCTTTCAAAGAAAGCAGACAAAGAACTGGGAAAAGGTGGAGTCGGCTTGGTTTAAGGTTAAGTTTTCCGAAGTTCTGAGGATCCTCTTCAGGTCCCATTTCCCTTCTTTCATGTTTGAGACCAAAGCCATGCATCTCAGACACTTCACTTTGCAGATCAATTGCTATGTCTCCTGGCAGCTTTGGCCCAGGTACACTCTCTGAAAATGTTCTCCATTGCTAGACAAGGAACCAAGTGGTAAAAATGACTGTGAAATTCTTTTTCCATTATGAATATGATGAAAAAAAAATAAAACTAAGAAAAACAGAGAACAGGTTCACACTTAATGACCTCAGCCTCTGTAGGTTACATTTAGATATATTTATTTCTCACCATCCTAATACCAACCAAACATTAGTTTTTGGCCCACCTCATCCTCAATCTGGATTGTGGTGGACAGACCACGTCATAGAATTGTGACAGGGAGAAGAGAGCCTTGTGGCTCTTATACCAAAAGCCGAAAACCTTTGCCAAGTAGTAGCATGTCCCTTCTGCCTTAATCCACTAGGTAATATTTGTTCCATGTCTTCCCTTAAGACAAGGAGTTTAGAAGGTGTCACAGATTGGAAGGTACATGAAGAGCAACCAGCATAGGACTACAGATCTGTTCCTTCCCTTGGTTTGGCTTTGTAGACTCAGGATAGACTGCTCACTGCTTTAGTGTTCTGTGGTGCTGTGGTTCATATTAGCAAGGATGACTGGTAGGATCTCCTCATGCTAGCCCTTCAATTCATCCTCACTCAAGCTGCAGAGGCTAGAAGTGTGTGTGCTTCCCTTAAGCAGTAGGGCCTTGGGGATAGGGGAACTGTATTTCTAGGAACTCGATCTCTGGCATGTTGACTCTTTACACATCCTCACTCCTTACAAGAGGTACTTACTTTCCTCTTGGAGTCTATCACTCTGGCCTCTCTTGCTCATCATCGTGATGCACACATGCACTGACCAGCATTTGAGTTCTCTCCCACAAGCCCTCCAGTACAAGAAAAACTTGACGAAGTGGCTGCTTGTAAGAGGGGCACAGAAGACGCCCGTGCTGCTCTGTGTTTTTCACCCAGTTCCACCCTTTGTCCATATGTGGTGTTCGTATAACATACTTCCTTGCCTTTTCACATTATATAAAAATGGTAGCTTGAAAACCCAAATCATTACGATAATTATATGAGTGCCTAGTTAACATTTGGCCTTTTTGCTTTTGTAGATAGAAGATTAAGTGCCATCACAGCAGTAATATATCACCTCTGTTCCAGTCAAACTGTGGGAGCTTCTCTTCATATCAAGTAGTTAACAGGGTTGGTGGGATGGGATGGCTGGGGGGGGGGGGGGTGATGGTTTGATGGATTTCCCTAAGGTGATACAAGCTTAAGGGATATTGAAACCAAGGCAGAGAAATGTTTCCCGTGGCTAACCAAGCCAGGAGGCAGGGCATGAAATTGAGCATGACTTATTTATGATCTAGACAGGCCCCCACCCTGCTTTTGAGCTGCAGGGAGGCCAGGCTCAAAGGGCAAGTGCAGTGTGCAGGCAGCGCCGCCACTGCAGCTACCTGGAGGCTGGGTCACCTGAGTCAGGACTGCCCATGTGTGGTAACCAGTCTGCCAGGGGCACGAAGGGCTGAAGATTACCCCAGGCTTCTAACCCTAAAGGGATACTCACTGCTACAAGGTAGCTGGGTTCCCAGGGCTCACCTGCCTTCTGCCGGCGCCCGGGGCGGGGCTTCCCGCGTCCCCTTTAAGAGGCCGCATCACCCGCCCTGACGTCAGGGTGTCTCTCCGCACAAGCTCGTGTCCCGCGCGCCGCGCCCCCGCGCCAGCAGCTCCGGTGGCCGCAGGACCAGCGGCGGCCCGGCGACCCTCGCCACATCTCCGCGTCCGTCGCCGCCCGCCACGCGGCCTCTCGCATCCCATCATGTCGGTGGCAGGGTTGAAGAAGCAGTTCCACAAAGCCACTCAGGTAGGGCGCGTGCAGGTGTGCCGAGGATGGCCCCGCGGGCGGACAGCTCCCTCCCCTGCGCCCTGCCTGGCCCGGTGCGGTCCCCGCGGGGCGCTACACTGCAGTCGCGCTCCGTGACCGGCTTCCCCGAGATCCTGCTCCCTGGCCGCCGCACCAATGCTTCCTCTTCCCGCTCCGAGTCCCCTCATTCCTGTCACCTTGGCTCTCAGTTCCCAGCTCCCAGTCGCTGGCACCACCGCTCCCTGTCCCGCCGTCTCTGTCTTCCCACCCAGGTTCCCAGGCGGTCGGTCCCCTCATGGCCCCTCTCCGGCGCCGCAGGCAGGGTGCCAAGCAGGTGCCTGGCTGCGCGGCGGGAGATTATGTAAAGTCGCCTTGTTGCGGTGACCTTGCGGTGCGGTGCGCCCCACTGTCCTGGGATGTGTTGGCTGGACCGGTGTTCGCGGTCCAGGCTGTAGAGGCACCCGCGCTTTGCGCTCTGGGCACTGCACTGGCTCCCCGGCTTTCCCCTAACCACTCCTTCCCAGGCCTCCCAGGCTCCCAGCATGGAAGGCTGTGGTTCCTTGAGGCGTTTGCATGCATTAACTTTTCCCTGGAGAACTCCTTGGTGAAGCTTATTTGAGGCCAAGGCTTGATCAGTGGTCTGCAAGTCTTTCAAGTTTCCCTAGGGATTTTACTGCCAAGCCATAACTCCGTTGAAAAAAACAAAAAAACAAAACAAAACAAAACAAAACAAAAAAAAAAAACCCCCCAAAAAACTAAACAAAACAAAAAACCTTGAAAATCACCTACTGTTTATTTTTAGCGAGTCCTTGGCTAGATGTACCAGGTTTTCTGTGTGGGTTGAATAAACTGTGATTAAATACATTTAATCCAGACCCTCATAATTTAAATCTCATTGGGACAATCTGAAAGATTTTACTAAGAGAACATATACATAAATACTTGATGATGTGACCCATTTCTTACATAATGTGTGGTTCAATTTTAAGATTATATTTAGCAACCAGACTTTATTGATAAACCGTTGAATACTTTTGCATAATCTAGCTTTCAAGATCCTTATCATCAGCTAGCTCTAATAGTGCGGTTTCTGTTATTTTTCGCGAGTAGCACAGTAGCAGTATTATGGGAGACAGCATAGTGAAAAGGTGAGGGCTGCATTCCCTAAGTTTGTGAAACAGATGCAAGGGTGAAGTTCACCGTGAGCATTTAGCATTATCGCTGCTGTCACCACAGACTTCACCTTCATCAAATTAGCTCTGTCAGTTTAGAAATGCAGGGAAAAGCCGTTTTAGGAAAGTGCTTCTAGCTATCTGTTTTTGGTTTTCTAATTAGAATTGTCTATAATCTTTTTGACAAAAATACAAAATCAAGTACATTGTTGACTTCTGACAACTTTTCAGTTTTACAGAAGTAATCTGTAACTAATCTGTACTGTAGCTTTCTTGATGTTGGGAACTTTCCTTTTATTTTTTAAGTTTGGTACTTGTCATATTTCTAAACTAGACTGAAGCACCGATTTTTACCAAAATCACATGGTGTTTTTTTCTTTTTCTTTTTCTTTTTCTTTTCTTTTCTTTCTTTCTCTTCTTTTCTTTTTCTTTTTTTTGAATAGTACAAGGTATTTAGAACCTTGGCTCTGGGGAAGGAAAAGCTAAGATTTGAATTCCCCTTCTGCTATCTCTGAATTTAAGCAGGCTAGGATTTTTTTTCCCTTGATAAAAATGAGACTAATGTTCACTTTTCAGGGGTAAAGTATGGATACATGAATTTGTAGAGCATGCATAAAAATTGCTCAATAAGTGATAGCTACTAAGGTTAAGGATGAATTCCTTAGTGTCAGATACTGTCTCTCCCACTGGTAAAATTGAGGTGTCAGGAAGCATCTGGAGGTAGAAGTTGTCAATCTGGTTGGTAATAGGCACAATGGCCATCTGACCCATTTCAGTGAATCCTGTAAGTGGGGAGAAACCAGGGTGCAGTATGGAAGGAATCCTTTCTCCAAGCTTGGAGGAGATTTAGTGGGGGTGCACTTGCTGTTTCCTACTTCGAACCCAGATGCACAATCCCGGTCATTTCCTCCCTTGGCTGGAAAAAGCCCCTTGTTGTAAAGGTGAAGGAAGCCACACACTGTCTTGTTCATACTTGATGGAACCTGGTCTTAAAACATGCGGGGCAAAGGTCATTCCTGTGCATGCATGTGTATTCTAGAGGGTGTGTAGAGCCAAGGCTAGTGTCTGTGTGCTCAGAGCTATGAGGGAAGTGGTCTCAGCCTGTGCTCACAGCCGGTTTCCCACACTGATTCCTGAATCTGACCTTAGCTACAGAGGAAGTGTCAGGTAGACCTACCCCTGTTGAGGACTGCCATGCTGGTCAATGGAGGTGACATTTCACCTCTCTGTGGAACTGAGCTTCTTGCTTATGTTATCCACGGGTGGGTAGGATTTTGTTAATAAAAGAATATACCTTTAGGGTCAGTACTATTGGCTTGGGATTCCTGATTAAGGTGCATCCCAATGGTCCTCCTATTAGAATTGATTATTTCTCTCTATTGTCTATAGTTACCATGTAATTAAAGTAGACAATTTTATTGGGAAATAGGACAAATGAACAATAATTATTCTGCCTTCAGTGAGCTTTACTTATATTGAGGTTTTATTTTTATCAGCAGTAATGTCAGTGTTTATATACAACCTTGTTTGAATTTGCAACAGTCTATGTAAAAATAGCGTTGGTTCTGGTTAACATGCCACAAACCCATTACTTCTTTTCATTCTCCCCGTGTTCATGTGTTTGATGTGTACATACATGGTGTCTGTGCATAATTCATACTGTATGCCATCACAAGAAAATCTTTTACAGGGTAAACTATTTTAGATGGTTGCATCATTAGTTTGCTAGGTTTTATGTAACAAGGTACCACCAACTGAGTTACTTAAACAGCAGAAATGCATTGAATCACTTAGCTTGAGGTGGAGATTATTGAGGTTTGAGGTTTCTGCAGCAGGAAGGCCATGCTCCCTCTGATAGCACCATGCAAGAACTCTTTCAGCCTCATTTCCAACCCTGGGGCTCCACTGATATCTATTGATGCTTTGCCTTGATCTTGTCTCCATGCTCACGTGGTATTATCATCAGTGATCGTGCTCAAGTTTCTGTTTTACAAGAGTACCAGCCATGTTGGATTAGGAGCCCATTTCCTCTAGAATGACCCTATTAGCAGTGTCCTTATTTCCATGCAAGGCCACATTCTGAGTTAATGGAGCCAAACTTACAACATAAACTATTTTTTTTTTGAGGGTACGCTTCAAATAAGAGCAGCTTGTTTTGCATAAAAGGATTTGTTATAGTATTTTTAATACTATATTTGATTCAACATTTAGAGTACTATGTAATTTTCTCTTGCATGGACCCAGATATACTTTCTTGTTTTTAATCACTTTGGTAGGCTATTGCTATAGTATGATTTGTTCCCACTTCAAATTCATGAGCTGAAAATTAATTGCCAATAAGGCAGTATAAGGAGATGGGATTTAGAAGGTGATTAAGTCTGAGGGCTCAGCCCACATGCATGGAATTACTGCTTCTCTAGGTTGGAGAAAGCACCCATTTCAATCTGCCACAGTGAGGGTGTAGCAAAAAGATACCATCATCAAAACGAGTCTCCGTTAGACAAATGTCTACCGGTGGGAGTCCTGATCTTGTATTTGTTTAAACTGACAAACTGTGAGAAATAAATACCTATGCTGTATAAGTTACTAGCCTTTGGTACTCTGTTATGCTCATCTGCACTGAGACAAACATGTGCCTGTTACCTTACTCTTTTTTTCTGTTGCTGTAACAATACCAGATATTGAGTAATTTAGAAAGAGGCTTATTTTGGTTCCTGATTCTGCAGGCTGGGAAATCCAGGATTATGTGGCTACATCTGCTGAGGGCTTGTGATGCTTAACTCCTGGTGGAAATCAGGAGGGCGGGGGGGGGGGTATTAAAAAGAAAGGTAACAGGGCAGTCTCTCCTTTTAATAGACATGTCTCAATGGACACCTCCAGTTTCTCAAGAAGGAGAATGAATTATGAGAGAAACATTTTAAACCACTGGTGAGGACTGTGTCCCCGAGATCCATTCCCTTTCCCCAAGTGCCACCTTTTGATGCTACTGTATTGAGGTACTAGCATGTGAGCTCTTTGGGCATATGCTCAAACCACAGTGTGCTCAAACTCAGTGTCTTCTAAGTTTTTGTTTTTAATGATAAAACTCTTTTGAATAGGGTGTGACTATGACACAGTCTGGTAGGTGCATATTGTCACACCAGAATTTTTCACTTGACAAAACTTGATTCCATTGGTGCTCTGGGTCTTTCTCTGTGTTAATTCATCTACTCATGCTTTCATGTTTTTTACCATGCAGTATTTTCTGTAAGTCTGCTTATGCATTTATTGATTTAGGAAACATTAAACCTATTTAGGAAACTTTAAACCTATTGGCTTTATATATTAAAATTTTACTTTCTTAAACATGCTTGCTTTACTCAGTAAGTTCACTGCTGCTTTGAAATCATGGATTTGTCTTATCACTTGGCCCAGGGTTCCTACGCCCTGTCCTTTTGGTGAATGTGTCAATAGGCTGCTATGGCCCTGTATATTACTGTAAAATTATATGCTGAACATTATGAGCAAATTTTCCTAAAAAAGAGGGTGCTTAGCTGCTTACCAGCTTCTCAGAGGCACACTTAATCTCTGCCTTCCTCCACAGAGTAAAAATGTAAGGTGAGAAATTGATCACAGTTTTTGGCAGAGAATCCATCCATCCTCTGTAACTGGACTTGACAGTACCTGACCCAAATGTAGCCTCCTCTGAACTAATTTTAGGGACAGCCAAATATAAAAGACATTCCAAGAGTTGCTAGGATTGGATGAAGTAATGCTGGTTAGAGTGCTGTGATTGCTTGATGAGGGTGACTTGAACCTTGTTTTTGTGTGTGTGTGTCTTTTTTCTTT